TCGACCCTGAGATTGCGAGTCGAGCGCCCCAACCACCTGGCCATGCCGGGCCAACATACAACTGACCAGGTGAAAAGAAAGGGTTTTTCAGATGTAGCCCTGCCACTTTAAGGGTCTCATATTGTGCTTCAGTTGTCATTTTGTCTAGCAAAAATGTGAATGTTTGACGTTTTTAATGAAAAACTACACATTTTCAAAGAAAAAAAAAACTTTGGGAATAAATATTGGTCTAAGAGTCATTAACTAACCAAACATATTTTTGCTGTGGGCATAGTCCAGAATAATAACTGTCGTACATCATGCCCTTTGGTTTCAATGTATCATCTTACCAAGTTTTTTTTAGATTGGTCCAAAAACCACGCCATAGTTCATAGACAAACAATTTTTTTTAGTTTGATAAGTATATATAAATTACCTCTTAGCATTTGGTTTGTCAAGAGCGAACTCTAGTAAATCCTCACAGCTAACATGATCACTGTTCTTGTAAATTGGAGGTGAGGGTGCATGTTCTTCTGGAATATCATCCAATCCATCAATCTCTGCCTGAATCTGAGTTTCGAAAGAATCATCCAGACTACAAAATATCCAATAACCTCAAGATTATTCCATGATAGAATCCAAACATTTAAAATGATTATTATTTTCACCAGCTAACAAAATTCTAACTTATCAAGTAAAGCTATACAATTACATGTAGCAAAATCCAATAAAATGAACTTAAATAAAGATATGCAAATAATTTTATCTTCATGCAACTAAAACATCATCCATTCTGCTTTAAAAAATTCAGTTCTATAACTTTCACTTTATATATCATAGCACACAATTTAATTTTCTATAGGCAAGTATTCAATCTCCAAGAAAAAATATTATCATCTTTTAAGTATAAAAGGAATATAGTTCTTGAGTGTTTATTGTGTGACAGATACTTATGGTTAGTAGCCTATATCATCACATTTGTTAGGTTGTAACAATATGATAGATTACAGTTCCAACAACAAGTGAACAAGATCGAGCACAATGGAAGCACTACTGGTCAATCATCTCATGGTTAGTAACCTATATCATCACCTTTGTTAGGTTGTAACAATATAATAAATTACAGTTCCAACAATAAGTGAACTGGATCGAGCACAATGGAAGCACTACTGGTCGATTGTTCTCATGGTTAGTAACCTATATCACCACCTTTGTTAGGTTGTAACAATATAATAGATTACAGTTCCAACAATAAGTGAACTGGATCGAGCACAATGGAAGCACTATTGGTCATCTGTTCTCATGGTTAGTAGCCTATATCATCACCTTTGTTAGATTGTAACAATATGATAGATTACAGTTCCAACAATAAGTGAACTACATCAAGCACAATGAAAGCACTACTGGTCATCTGTTCTCATGGTCAGTAGCCCATATCATCACTTTTGTTAGGTTGTAACAATATAATAGATTACAGTTCCAACAATAAGTAAACTAGATCGAGCACAATGGAAGCACTACTGGGCTGGTTGATCGTTCTCATGGTTAGTAGCCTATATCGTCACTTTTGTTAGGTTGTAACAATATAATAGATTACAATTCCAACAATAAGTGAACTACATCAAGCACAATGAAAGTACTACTCATCGACTGTTCTCATGGTTAGTATCCTATATCATCACCTTTGTTAAGTTGTAACAATATAATAGATTACAGTTCCAACAATAAGTGAACTAGATCGAGCACAATGGAAGCACTCAAAGAATACATCCAACTGACAATCTCCACAACAAGAGAATTCTTAAACTTCTGTGTCAACACCACCTAGATAAATACTTCCAACAAAACAAAGGCCTAACAATGAGTTCACCCAATAATTTTAACTGTAACTGTGTTACCACTATATGGGACATCTTGAAATTAATACCTATGAAACTGCTGCTCTATACCCCAAGATTTGGTTGAGATATGTCAATGACACGTCGTACAGACAATATTATAAAATTCATGAATGACTAACTGAAAACCTCATGAAATAGAAGATAACATTTCTGGAAATAATCCATATAATACAAGAGTTTCCAAATTATACTGAAGAAACTAAGAAGTTAAAAGATATAATTAATACCCGGAACACTTGATCAGAAAATGAACCCCAAGAATAAACAGGAAAATTTTAGACATACAACTACATGTCAGAGGCCACTCTTAAAACAACTAGAGAATATGTGAACATCAAAAAAGTCAGTACATTATTCAGAATCCACAACACAATATGACTACAGTTACAACATAAACCACTTAAAAACCCCAACAGAAGAAGAAAAGAAAAAATCAGCAAAAGTTAGGATTTACAAGTAATAATAGACATACTGGATGTCATGGAAATACCAATTTATTTAAATTAGCTCATCATACAAAAGAAGACTAAATTATAAAATGAACTAATAATAAAACAAATAAGATATTAACCTCTTATGAGAGGGGAAAAAAATATAAAATAAGCTTTCTACATATACCACTTTTAGGCAACTCAAAGAAGCCATTAAACTAAGATATCCTTTTTGAAAATGTTCAAGTAGTTGATTCAAGTTCTAACAGGGGCAGAGACGCCAGTTGAGTGGATGACAAACTTTTCATTAAGAAGGACTAGGGTTGAATCCTGGCCAATACCAACACAGAAATAGTCCATCTCTCAACTTTCCTGAAGATGTCAGCACATTAGTAGCCAAAATGTAGGATAATATCTAATTAATGTCTAGTTGAAAAACAATATAATAAAAATACAGGAGTACAAGATTTGACATATAGGAGACGAGGGGAACAAATCAAGAACTATTTAAATTTCAAGAGTGTAACCCCCCCACAAGTAGCAAAACACACACTCAACTATCATGGCAGCACATCAAAAAAACAGCACTACAACATCATTCTCAGTCAACAAAATGAGATGCCATGTACTTTTAAAATCATCATCAGGATCAAGTACTTCCAATTTTACTAAAACTGTAAATAACTTTATCATGAACTTTATCCTATTCTTCTCCAAGACTTTGCTGAAATCTCAACCTGATGATGGTCTAATTTAGAACAAAAGCTCGTTTTTACCCAAGTAAATACTGAATTTCATTCAAATGTTTGTATTCTAGCATGTTCTGTAAGTTGTCAGTATAGATTTGTGTTAATATTGGGAAATATACATATATAAAATTTAGTTATGAACTAATCATTAGACTTAAGTTTTAGCTACTACATAAGTGATAAATGATTGCAATAACTTTACCATAAACACATACCTAGTTGATCGTGCTGGTTTTGGGGGAGGAACTTTGGATTGACCACCACCCCCATCTTGTGGTGAATTAAGCATGGTGGGACTGACCAAGTCTGAGTCTATCGAGCTTCCATCAGATCCAAGTGGAACTTCAGAGCATGATACCTGCGTCAGAAGAGTAGATCCGGAATTTGGAACTTGACGTATTCCCGGTAAAACCAATGGATGTCGACGTTGATGTTGCTTTAGGACGGGAAATGGCTTGGAACGGTCTCGAGGTGGCAAAGGAAGAAGGTTGGCTGAACTATCAACCCCCTCTAGCTCAGGATTCACAGTGATATGTGCACTAGACACAAATGTTTGTTCATCTTCAGCCTGACAAATTTCACCTATGGACCTTGCATTTTCTGGGACCGATGATGACCTCATAACAGCTGCTGGAGGGGGAGGAGGTGCTCCAAGTCCTGCTCTTGCACCTCCGGTATGAGGAAGAACATTGGCTGCTGGTCTCGTTACTGCTGCAGTTTGGATTGCAGAAGCTCTAGAGCTTGCTGGAAGCCCATGTTTATTACCTCTGACTTTAGGCCTCACAGGACCACTCTTACGAAGCATGCGTAGTGGGTTAGAGTCCATTGTGTCTTCAGCATCTGACGAGTCTGTTGTTGTAAGCAGGGTAGGTTGAGACTTGGTATACTGACTGCTGTTATCAGTAGGTGATGATTGATGAATAGTACTGTGTTGGGTGTCACTGCTTGTGATATTACTACCACTTTTTGTGACAGACTTCACAGTATGTAAACCATGTTGGTTTGTACTTGCTGTAACTGGTGTTTGCTTAGATGAAGTATGCTGAATGATTGTGGCAGATGACGTGTGCTGACTATGAACTGGATCTCTAACACGAGTGCGAGATTCTTGAATGGTTGAATGATGGTGAGTATGAAGTGAGTTATTATTGTGGTTTCGATGGTGAGAATCACTAGAATGCTGCCTCGTGTCACTGTTTGAAGAATGGGGGGTACTGTGCTGGCCCTTCTCCACCAGAAGGTTGTACGCTTCTCGTGCTTCCTCTGTAAGGATATCTTGCACACTAGGAATAGCCTGAGTCTCTGCACTGAAGTTTCGTCGTTCTGGCTTTGGGCTAGGTTTTAGCTTGAAAGAAAACTTAGTTCTGGTTGGGGTCGTTGGTGTCTTAGGGCTCTCTAGACCTGTATCTGAGCCCGATTTATTTTCCACTTCCAGCATGCTACGACTGGCTAACTCTTTAGCCATAGCAATAGCACAGTCTAGTGTATGCTGGTCAGCTGCTGAAATTGGTTTCACAGTAGCCTGCTTCTTTTTCCCACCTTCTCGATTACATACTTTCGAAGTAATTTCCTTTATCTCATTCCTAACATTGTTGTTCTCATTAGACTGTTGCTCATCCAACTCTGGGTCTGGATTAGTTGATCCCAAAGCTTTAAAAACTTCATCCATCAACGATGGTCCAAAATCTAGGGTCTTCAAAAAATAATGCTTATTGTATGAAGTAATAATGTAGCAACATTGTATGCAATTTATTACACCAGTGCAGCAACCTGAATAAGCTATTTCTGTTATAAAAGGTCAGAGATCTTGTTAATATGTATTTATGTGACCCAGAGATCTTGTTTTCCTAATCTAAAAGTATGGTTTCCAAATTTGGTGTAGCTAAGTTTAAAATAAATATCAAAAACATTTTCAAAAATCCATCATGTTAACCATATTTTGAGCAGATCATAAAAAACTGACAAAATTTACTTTAATTATTTTTACTCCCTGGGATGTCCAAATGACAAAAAACAAAACAGTAAAATGTAAATCAAATAAGTAAATTTAAAGTATCCTCAAATCTAAAATCTTTCAAGGAAAATACCTCAAAACGTGGACTTTCCACAGATGGGAAATCCTCTTCATCACTGATCTCATGGTATTCATGATCAGGCCCAATATTCAGTTTATGTACATCAGTAGTTTTGATGATCTCTGTGGACTCAACCATTTTGTTTGTTTCCAAGTTTACTTGGTAATCCTTCTCACACAAACTTCCAGCATCTGACCAAGTTTCTAAGATCAAAGAAAAGCAACTCTTCATGGAAATTAAATTTAAAACATATTTTATATAATAAGACATCTAAATTTTGTCAGTTGATAACCTTAAGAATTATTTGTCACTAATGTAAAAGCCATATTAATAACTCCCTGATTCTAATTATTCTGCATGTTCTTGATGAAATTATTTATAAGTTTAGCATTTTATGGTTTTAATCTTCAAAATGCATTTGAACAATTGCAATTCTCTATATTTTAACTGTATTTTTTAATTGCAATATCAAAGTGAGCAAAGCAGTCATTCCTGTTATGAATTTTTTTGAAAGTTATATGTTAACTACAAATTAATCAATTCCATTAAAGAAAAACTGTCAATATTTACAGGTTAGTAAATAACAAACCTCCTATCGTGGCACTTCTGCAGTCAGTAAGGAAGTTAAATTGATTTAAGCTGGAGGGGAGTCAAATATTAATAACCCTTATTTTGCATAAATCCTTTAAAAAGGCTGGTAAATCTAGATAAGTTATTCATATATTTTATATTTTAAGTTTTAATAATTAAAGTACGTTTAAACAGCTGTTAAGCTTGAATGTTAAAAATACACAAACTAAATGAAGTAACATAACACAGAGTAGAAAAAGGACACAAGTACTGAATGCTCAAGAAAAAATACGTTAAAAAGAAAAAAAGTTTTGAGTTCTGTCTGATTCTTGAAGTCAATAATAACAAATTTATTCACAATTACAGATTTTCAACTTAGGGAGTAACCAACCTGCTGCAGGACCACTTTTACCATCATTAAGAAAATTTGATTTGGTCAAAAGAGGAGTACGGTCAGAAAGATCAGAAGAGGCACGGGCTAATAAACTACTTGGTTCTCCATCATCCTGAGGTTTATCTAAAGAGGACGAAAATCAGCAAACATAAGCTTTGTTCCACTACCAATTAACATTTTACAAAAATATTTTGTTTTTTTAATTACAAATCTAACCCTTAACTAGACATTAAAAAACTACACAAAAATCTAAAATAAAACATAATGGCTTTGCTAAAACTTAAAACAATGGATAAAACTGTAACACAAGCTAAATCAACACAGAGTATATTTTGTACTTTAACACAATTTAAAACTTAAAAATAATATACAGAAGAAAAATGACACGAGTTCATTACAATAGTTCAATACACAAAACTAGCATAATACAATGATTCTGTTAAAATTAACCCTTTCTATGCGGGTCATGGATGAAAGGCCACGTCATCTCGTTTGTTGACTCGTGTTCAAAATTTTATTAGACTACTATTTCATGAACGTATGTCAATAAGTTTGGTATCAAACTGTAGATTATAAATCAAATTTTATTTATATACATTACTCAATTTCTTTATCTAAAAGTAAATATTAAAAACACAGAAACATCGATTTGTGTGTGTCATGTGGTATGTTGAATGAAACATTGGTTCAAATTAGATTTTTGTGAAGTCAATTACTCAGTCTATAGTTTCGTATGTATTAGAAACTAAAATTACTGATATTTACAAGCTAAAATATAAAATAAAAACGTCTTTTCTTTTCTCTATTTGTTAAGATATTACTCATGTAATAAATCAAACACGGAGGCACCCCACCCACCTCTTTCCATTTTTGGAAATGCTCCCTTATATATATATATATATATATACACACTTACTTCTATATAT